TACACGCCCAATAACATATACAGATACGACTTGCTCCTTCCAATTGTAGAGGCTGTGGTTTGACTTGGGTATGATTTGAGAGTTTGATTCTACCTATCTTAGAGAATTCTCTTTAACCCTAAGAATTTTGGATACAACATATCTATGATCGGTTGAATTTATGCTGTTAGCTAAATAAAGTGCGTATTGAAATAAAATTGTTAAAATAGTTGTATTTTTAAAAATTTACTGAAAGCAAATATTAAAATACTTAACTAATATTAATTTTAACTGAATTGTCTAAGCAGATAGAAGACAGATTAAGATAGTGGTTTTAGTATGACTGAGTTTGGAAGTAATTGGCTGCATTCCAATGAGGCAATCAGTAAAGATAATATAATGATCTTTTGGGGCAATTTGGTATATTATATGTGAATTTCTAAATAAAAAATTATGCGTGTTTAGTTTGGCTGTAAACTACAGCACCCTCAAGATAGAATACATTAAGATTGAAGACTACTTTTACGAGTTAATCAGAAATACATTAAGAATATGTAGCCCTTAGTAAGAAGTATGTGATAAAAAATGTCAAGACTATTATTATACCCTAAAAGTATATTACTATAAATATATTAATGGACTATGGAATTACATATAGATTCGGGTCAAAGAAATTAGGAGAACCAGCCGGCCCCGAGTAGGGATGATGGATATGGAACGTGGCAAATATACTTATAAATTAATAAAGTCAGATTTTAAAACTATATTCTTCCTGCTAAGGTTTCGTTAAGGATATGAGTTAATTATGAAGATACGTTTGAAAATACGTAGAATATTATGGTATGAAATATGTTCATTTGTTGTAACCTGTTGAATTAAATTTTAAAAACTACAGATATATATGCTTAAAATATGTAAACATTAAAATTTTTAAGCTTTATCATTTGCAAAGAAGAAGAGTGAAGTATAATTTTGTTAAGTAAAAGAGACAGGGATTTTTAAGCTACTAGGGTAATATTTGTTAAAAAATGCTAGAGTCTCTTAATTTATGTTTTCTCTTTATTCATATACTTAAAGAGTTTTAAGATAATTATTTGTCCCAGGATTTAAAATTATCAAGGAGGCTTTTGTTTCGTATGAAATTGCATGAAAAAGGTATTCGAAGGTCGATCTCACCAGAAAAGGACGAATAAATTCTGTTTTACTGCAGCCGTTTGACTTTAATAAAACGTTTAGGTTGACACATTCCATAAGACCTCCTCCATTGTTTAAAGGAAAAGCAGGCTGAGCTTTCGTCTATCATATACTGGATGCCATCAGAGCTAGAACTCATTCTTGTAAAAGTCTCAATATAACGCTGGGTCCAGCATCAGCATCGTCATCTGGCTTATGAACTTCAGAAAATCCTTCAATTTTTCTCTTCCATGTGACCAAATAACGAATTAATCGTCCGGGTATAGCATAGGCACTGCTGGTTGTAGCGGTTGCATTTAAAAGTACTCTTCTAACTTAATCACGTAAGCTATTGTTAGAAGAAAGGAGAGCGACAATCCCATATGAATCGAAGGTATAAAGACTAATCTCTTGAACCATTTTCTGTTAAGAGGGTTATGCTATCACTCCTCATCTTGTACTGGTGCTTTAACGTATCATTTACTAAATAAGGACCAAACTGTGAGGATCAATGAAACCCTACGAGTCATGCTTAAAGACAGGCCTAAGAATAGGGAGTTCGATGGATACAAAAGGAATTCACTAATAGAAAAGGGCGGCACAACTATCATCAACCTAAGGATTACCAATAATACCCAAAGAGGGGTAAACACTCTATAATAGGTGTGGAGCAGCACACAAATTGGCAAAGTTCATGTTTATAACTTAAGCAATTAATGACGCAATTAAAAAATTCATATGAATTTCCTTAAAGAATTGAAAATATGACACTGGACGAGACAGACTTATTGGTAAGTTTTTATGTACAATCCATGTATACAAGCATCTCTGGACAAAAGGCGCTGAGGGCCTTGTTAGAAATCTTGGACCCATATGAGGATATCCCAAGAGGAGAAATAAACAGAAAAGATTCGTTAGCACAGCTAATCAAGTTTACACTTCAGACAATACATTACACGTTCAATGGGAATATATAGGACAAATATTTAGACTTCCCATGAGATCGAGGTTGTTTGACCTTGGTTTCGCAACTTGCCTATATTAGCAGGAAGAACTAGAGGAATGTGCCTTATCCGATGTCAATAGTATGCATGATACTTTCGAATGTCGGAACGTGGACGAGGTATATTCCAAGACGCAGCTTCGGCATTTTAATTGGCATCACCGGTGAGTCTTGTTACTCTCATCAACCAAGCTACGGCTCGTCAAAGAGACAAGTGAAGTCAATTCCTTGGATAACCTTCTGTCGAGACTGTTATGCTATCACTCTTCGTATTTTCCTGGTCAGTCTATACATTTCTTACCCTCTAATCTCTCCCTCGTACTTTACAACTTCTGATATGTTTATATTCCATATGAGATGTACCCTTTCGGCAAATTTACCGTGGCGTCATCTCACCTGCTATCTGCCTTGCTCCCCTCTTTTTCAAGTGGCTGATACTGCTCTAGTCTCCTTTCAGGAACTGCCTCACGGCCCCATGGCTCCGTTTCTTATCTTTCTTGTTGGCCGATTTGACTCGGTTCCAGTACCAGCGTACTTCTCCTCCAGGTGCTATTTTTCAAGCCTTCAGTAGCATGTACAATGTCGTCGTATCTTCAGATCGCCTAGGCTCTGATTCCTATGGATGCATATATTAGGCGCTAACATTAGGCATCATCTCCTTGATTAAGCCCCTGAAGATAAAGCAACTTCGTACATGCTACTAACGGCTAGAGAAATAGCATGGTTTGTCAAGAAGATGATACGTGAAGGTCATGCTTAATATCCGCAGACATGGGAATCAGAGCCTAGGGGCTCTGAAGATAAGGCGACTTTGTACGTGCTACTGAAGGCTTGAGAAATAGCATCAATAAGTCTACCTTGTCCAGTGCCCTGTTTTCAATTCATTCATAAAGTTCATATGATTTTTTTAAAGATAATAACCTGTCATTAATTGCTTGAGTTTCAAACATTAACTTTGCCAATTTGTGCGCTGCTCTACACCTGTTGTTGATTATGAGAATTAGTAGTATTATTAGTCATCTTTAGGTTGATGGCAGTTGTGCCTCCTTTTCTATTAGTGAATTTATTGTGCATCCATCGAACTCCCCATATTTATGCATATCTTTTAGTATGACACGTAGGGTTTCATTTAGCTTCCCAGTTGGGTCCCACTTTAGTAGACGATGCTTTGTCCTGTCTCCGATCATATAGTTACACTTTTCTGTTTATTATTTTGTCCAGTATCACTGTCGCTTCTTTCTTATCTCCCTTAAGGACCAAGTTTTCATTCAACTATACAATCTTGCGCAGCCTGGCAAATCTTTACCTTTAAGTTAATGCTTGGTTTGTCAATCTCCTTGAAATCAGTTCCATCGTTAATATCAAAGTATTGAAGTAAGTGTAGTATAGTATCACGCTCGATAGTGTTTAGATAGCTAAGTGTCCCCTTAGAGTGTATAACTTAAACTCTTTCCCCAAAACCCCCTATAAAATGAAAAAAGGTGAGAAATGAGTAAACAAGTTTACTAAAAGATCAAAAGAGTAAAAAGATATACCAGACGTTTTGATAATAAGGAAAATGAACTATAACAGAGCAACCTTACATAAAATTAAGCTCGGGTAAAAATCCTACCTTTACAAAGATACAATTTGCATTTTATTTGGTATAATCACGTATTCATAAAATGATTTGCTTAAACGTATATATTTTTAATACATTTAACATTTTATATAACTTAAATTAAGTAGATTTAAAATGATAGTATTAATAGAAAGTATGATAAAACATTATATAATTTGACTAGTTTAAATTTACTAAAAACGTAATAAACCCTCTTTCATGCTCTTGGCCCTGTTTTAATCACAGCTCTAGGTCTTTTCTTAATTCTATTTAGACCGTAGGCTTTAATATGTTTTATTATTATAATAACATAGCAAGCTATTTGTTTAAACGTCTACCAAACTGCTTTTGCAGCTAACTATGTATTTTATCATTATCTCATCTCTCATTTTTCTTGTTAATAATTTATATATATCTTTCATGCTCTAAGATAACCAGGTGGCATCTTACCAAATTATATAACCTTTATTTTCATATTTTAACATAAATAATCTATGAATTTTTACTTTCGTCATAATCGTCTTCAGTGTTATCATTAAGTAATTTTTAACTTTAAAAAGTGATATAATTGTTTCCCGATATTTATTTTTCATTTGCTTTGTTAAACGTTAAATATAACTGCTGATCGAAGATATCAAGACTAAGATGATATGGCTCTTAGTATGGTCACAGTCTCCATTCGATATATAGAAGTGTGTTGACCTCGTTTTCGCCATATGTTGATGTTAGGACTATTTAATTGGGATCACCTTTGATTTTGGTATAGTAACAGTCCCGTGCCTTTTAGCTGAGCATTTAATACGCTTGAAAAATCTTTCAGTTTATTCTTTACTTCTCTTCCTTTATTCGTATTCTGAAGGGCAAGGTTCTGTTTGTTTAACTAATTATTTCCTGGCCCTTACTTTTCTCTGACAATATTTGGTAGCAAGACACTTTGATTGTGTAGGAACATCTGGAATAAGTATTATGTAAACGAATATAGTGATAAACCTTCCGCTCTTATCACTCAAATTCTTCTCTTTCCATGATTTAAATTTCGAATAAAATTGGAATTCGGAGTTTAGCACTATTTTTCAGGCTAGCCTCCAATGTGCTATTTGTTTTATTTTGATAGGCTTTGATAAACATTATAGTGATACATTCAGATTTTGTTTATTCTCTATTTTATTCTTTTGTAGCTGATTTAATTACTCAACTTTATATGCATTTATAATATAGCGAACTCAATGCTCTTCAGCTTAAGTCATGCCTGCACTTGAAAAGGATGAAATTGAGTCTCTCTTCAAATCGCTTGATATTGACAAAGATGGTCGTGTAAGTGTTTCAGAGCTTAGTGCTGTATTAAAAGGAAAGAGGAATCAACGAGCTTCTACCACTACGGATGCTAAGCGCATAATCGACGAGCATTCACATGGCTCTCAACAGACATTGAGTTTTGCTGAATTCGTCAAATATATTCATGACACCGAGACCCAGCTCAAGTTGGCTTTTAAACAATTAGATAGAAATTCAGACAACAAAGTTGATGTGGAAGAGGTGCTTTTAGCTATGAAAGATCTTGGGGTGAATATAAGTCGTTGTGATGCTGAACAGCTACTTAAGAAAATGGACAAAGATGGTTCACTAACAATCAATTTCGAAGAGTGGAGGGATTTTCTATTATTCAGTGGAACTTCAGATATCAAAACAATATTTCAATATTGGCGGCATGCTTCAGCTACTGATATTGGTGAAATATACTCAATTCCAGATGATTATACTGAAGAAGAGAAAAGATCTGGGGAGGCTTGGAAAACATTGCTAGCCGGAGGTCAGTTTTGGCTATTAACATTTATATGGCGGAGTTATTCCAGAAAAAAATTATCTTATTCATAAGCTAGCTTTGTTTTCGATATTTATTTATACTCTTTTCATACCTTATCGGATAAATCATCCTAAGAAAGGATAACTC